TGTCTGTGCTTGAAGTTTGAAAAGAAAATTTCAAATAAGGCTACTTGTACTCAAATACAAGGTAGGGAGAAGAAATTCGCTAGATGATATCACAGCCCACATGCCCTTGAAAAATTTTATTTTTATTTTTTAAAAGATTTCTTATTTAATATGCACACTTTTTTTATTTGATCCCATTTTCATAAAAAGAAAAATTAACCATCCAAAAAAAACTTCTGGTTGTATGAATATAGACAGTTATCCAATTCAAATATTTATGAATCCAAATGTTTTTTAAGTTAATGTTACTATTACTATAAAATGATGAAGTGTAGAGTTTTTTGAAACTGGGGTTGGTTGCCTATTAAGAACCATTGAATATTTTGGCCGTACTTAGAAATAGTATGTGTCTCTACAGGATAAGCACAAGAGTGAATTAACATTTTCAGAAAAAAGAACTAACTTGTGTATTGTAAATGTCTCTTTTAGTACAAGTGTTGTTTGCGGTCAGTTCCACTGCCAATAAGAGAAGCAAAGGCTTAGTAATAAAAAAAATGAAAATAAAAAACAAATAGTATCTTAGTTAGATCCTGAGACTATTATATATGTACCAATCCAAATCTCTATCTGTTTCAATATGATGAATGTAGAAGGATAGTGGACCCACAAATTGCTTGTTTTCTTATTAGAGCTTCTCACGCAAAAGATACCCGCAAAAATAATTGGTAATCTGTGGGAAAGAACAATCCCCAGGCATATTTTTATCCAAATAAATACCCCAATAATGGTGCTTTTAAATACTGTCACAAATTGGCAATTCATGAACAGCTAGCCATTTCAGGATTGTAATGTGGCTTCTCACTTCTTGCTTTCCTTTTCCACAACAAAAATGCCAATAATTAATGTCATTCACTCATAAAAGGTCTTTTTCTTGTGCCAAAATTTCCAATTTTGGCAACCATTGTGTTGTAATTTGTAAATGTAGATAGGTTTCATCAGTTTTGGTTTCTGCCCAAAATGACACCCATTTTGCTCAATTTTTTCATACTAGTGGATCAAATTATAGAGTCCATCACATTGCATGCTTGAAAATTTGAGCATACCCTACTTTTTTTATAAAGCCATGTTTGCCCTACTTGAATACAAAATTTCCTGCCTGTGAAACAAAAATCAAGATTCCTTCATCAGAAAAAAGAAAGAAAATAAGCATGGCCAGTTTGCATAATATACAATTACACTTGTTGGATCAGAACAAATTAATTTAAGAAGTCATGTTCTAGTTCTAATTCTGATTCTAGGCACATCTGATATGCATAAACAACATTAAATTCAAAGATAACACCTTCCACGTATAGTGATAGTGACCATCCTTGTGGTGTTCCTGGGGATTTAAAATGTGCCAAGTTTTCAATTTTTCACATTGACACGCCTTGGTATGTTTTTCCGGAAAATCATTTTAATACTCCCCAGAAATGAGAAATTTCCGTGTACCCAAGATATTGGTATTCCAAGTCCAACATCAAGCATAGCCGGCGCCAAATACGCATAACTATTATTTTTCTTCAACCGTTGACATTCAAAAATGCAATAGTTTCTACTCTTTTGCGTGAATCTCACTTCTCTTTTTCATATTTCCCACTCTTCACAGTCCTAATTACCTAACTTTTTCCTTGTTCCCCATGCAAACACACATATAAAAACACTTCCTACCAAGTTAAAAATATTCCTCAAAAAACTCAACACTCCCAATTCCTTAAACCTCTCCCTGCATATCAAGCAAGTCAAATCCTCTGCAGAATCAAAGTATCAAACATTCCTATAGTTTTTCTTGCTATGGCAAGTTCTCATTCTTCTAAATCCTTTCATCTTCCATGCAAAACCTCTTCTCTATTCCTCCTTCTGGTTTACTTGCTCCTTATTGGTTCTTGTACTGCAATAAGAACCGGGGCAACCATGAAGCTGAATGAAAAAAGAGAGCTTCTCCAGGGAAAGCACAACCAACCGCGTCTTCAATACCAAAGCCTTGTTTTCAATTTCTTTCCGAAAGGATCAGTGCCACCTTCAGGTCCTTCAAAAAGGCATAACTCAGTGGTGGATTCAACACCTCACAATTAAGTTTATAAGTCCATTTTGTATAATTTTCCAATTTTTTTTTCTCTCTCTTCCTTTTTGTTGGTTTTGTATTGATGGGAAGGGTGTAAGGTTTCTAGTCAGAATATCAAGGCCCCAAGAGACCAGATCCTTAGAGGGTCTGAATATTTTTGGATCTTATTCTAAATTACACTGTATAGAAAAGATTGTTGAAATATATGTATATTAGTTTTCAGAATGAGGCTTTTCTTCTATGTTCATTTTGTTGTCCAATTGAGTGTTGGTGTAAGAAGATTATCAATCGAACTGAATGGCTTACCTTTAAGCTCTGTTTGTTTAATTTTGTTTGTATCTGCAAAAAGCATATCAGATGCAGGTTTTCATTCAAATTGAACTTACCCTTATCTTCTCGCTTATGACTTTTCTCTCTGTGTACGTGTAACATTGACTTCAGGTGAAAATTCAGAAATAAAAAAGGCTAGAATTTGGATTTTTTCAACCACTGCAAGATAAAAGGCAAAAGTTGAATGCTCATTGTCTTCCAAGTTTCCCTTTTGCCTAGTTTAGATTTGAGGGGTGTGCCGGTGTGGTTTGGCCCACACTCTTGAGAAAATTCCAGTTAAATTAAAAAAAATAATAATAATCTGTTTCCATTAAAACACTCTATAAATCTCCTATGCTTTCATTTTGTCTTCTTGAAGAAATTTAGAATATACCTATTGGCTGCCGCTGAATTAATCCAATGGAGACAGGCTATAACTGTGGCTGAGATATTTATATTGGTCCATATAGGGTAAAAATCCAATTTCTTTTGCGCCTGTACCTTACACAGCTATTCATTATTATAGACAAAGTATGGTACGGTTGGAAGTATGCAAAAATTTCAATGAATCTAAATGCACTCAAAGCAGGGGAATTATTAGAATAAGGTCCCAAGACGGTTCATAAACTAAGCATGAAGCAAAGAAGTTAATGCATGCAAGGGTTTCTTCTACAAACCAATAAATTCAAAGTGTCTCTGCTAAGGGATATTTGTCCCCTTGAGTCCTTGACTATATGCTAAGCAAAAGTTAGGTCCCCTTAGCTGCATTTAATAAATAAGAATAAGTTCAATTAAATAGTGTATCAAATTCAACATCTGAAACGTTTCCAAAGTAAGAAGTTCAAAGAAACAAAGTAAGATGTTCCATAATTATGACAGTTCTGTGAATCTGGTGAATTTTGAATAGCCTTTTATATATAATATATATATATATACTCTTCCCTTATATGTTGAAAAAAATAGCTTCTCCTTTATCTAATCACAATGAGAATGAGATATTGGAAATTGAAAACCACAAAAGGGCTGACATCTGTTTCGTTGCAACTATGCCTTTAATTTAGATGTAGCACAATGGTACCCCATATCTTCTATTTGAGAATATTTGCAAAGCTTCTTCAAACTTTTAATGCATGTGCAGCATTCAATGCACAAGAGACATCACCCGTCAATGTTTGACAATATAATATAGGTTGCACGTTTTTAACATTCGATACATTCAAAAAAAGAAAAAGAAAAAAAACACCTTTCATGTAGTCAGTCATCTCGGAGAGCTTGTTGAAGACCAGATAGATAGAATGAATTCAGGAAATTTGTCCCCCCCTTAATAGCCATATGTATTTAATCCTACACTTGTTATATGTTGTAATAAAATTACTGAAATTCAATTTAATTGAGAAGAATGAACATGTGACAAATATCTTGCTCATTAAGATTTGGTTAAAGAGATCATAGTATTATATTATATGTCAACTAACTCAAATGTTTAAATTATTAGATACAAGATTAAAAAAAAAATGTTGGGTGAAGTTACATTAATAATTTTATATTTCTCTGACAAAAATAAATTTGAAGTTGCGTTATAAGTTGAACTCAGTTCATAACAAAAAAAAAGAAAATTGAACTACCGAACTCTGTATTTTTACATATTTTTAGCTTGATAAACGAAAAGTTCCTACCTTCTTTTGTTTCCGCTCCAAGAAAATGTCGTGCAATTCATACAAGTAACAAATATAGAGATCAAATGTGCTCTTTATAATTATACATTGAAAAAAGAAAACAGAGCTTAACTTCAAAACTCTGACTTTGGGTTTAGGAAATTGAAATTGCTGAGCGTAAAAGATTGAAAAAAAATTCGACTTTTATTTCGATGACAAGACGATAGCATTTCACACCTGTACGCCATAAATTACATATAATCTATGTAGATAGGTCATATATATATATAATATAAAGAATAGATGTCGGTTGATGCAGCAGTCAAAATTTATCTTCTTTTTCCCAATTGTTGAGTTCATACATTTCACCCGTATTCGAATAGAGCTGTCAAAACGGGCTAAAGCCCACGGGCCACCCTTCACCCTTACGCACATTTAGTTGGGTTATTTTTAAAAAGTGGTTCGGCTTAACATAGCGCAGGTGCAGATAGTGATTTCCTAGAAACAAAAAGCAGCATTGAGGGAAGCTTACAAGAAGAAGAAGTACTTGCCTTTCAATCTTCGTCCCAAGAAGACCAGAGCTATTAGAAGACACCTTACCAAGTACCAGGTACCTTTTATGTTTCTGCTTTGGTTCAATTTTCTGTTATATACCTTTTTTTTTATTAAGGGCTGAGTTTTTTATTATTATTTTTAAATGCATATGGGAAAGTTGGTCTTATTGCTTGGTTGATGTTGTGCAAACGTCGGGGTTACGCTTGATGTGAGTGAAAGTGGAAAGAGTGCAGAGGGACGAGGTTATTAAGGTGTAGAGAGATTATCTGTATAAGTATGATTGAGAAGTAAGCCAAGCAAAGTTTTTGATTCAGGAACTGACACCGAAAACGGAGGAAGTTGTAAACGAGGCTCAATCTAGAGGGGTACGAGCAGCTGCACATTACAAGCAGTTTGTGTTAATTGGGTCGGCCAAATTCTGGGCTGGTCTCAACCACTATCCACCAGTTCCCACAGTTGCACACTGGTCGGAAAAGTACAACCATGTGGTCAAGAACATGATTGGAAAGGGATAAAATGTCTTTGGGTATTTGCCTTTGATTCCCATTGACGACATAGCAGTCATAGCTAAGGCATTTAGACAGGGAGAAGCTGCAGGACAGGAATCAAAATCTTTAGATTTTGGTTCTAATTGAGTATTAGCTATTTCATTACAAAATCTGCTTCTGACTAATCTTCCTGTGTGAGTTTAAGAGTATTAGAGGGCGTGTGGATATGAATGGAAAGGTAAGAAATTGGTACCGACTATGTAACTTAACCAGTCCGTAAAACATAATATGTTTATGTTGCCCAAGGAACGAGTGTCCATAGATTGGTATCATTGAAATACATTATATATTCTAAGTGAGAGACTAATTACACCAAAATATTGTTATTAGAGATATAAGCATCCTTTTTAGATACATATTTTTTTTTTTCTGGTTATACTTTTGTTGCCACGAAAAGAAGTTGAACAAAAACAATAGGTAATAAATACGAGTTCTGTTATTATGTCTCACCTTGGTTTTGTGGCTCCTACAGCCAAGACAATGGCATCATTTTCCTCTCTAAGTCGATCAAGAGAATATAAAGGATCATGTCCAACATTAGCATTCACCACAAAATTCACTCCTTTCTCAGCCATAAGATTAACTCGCTGTTGAACTACATCCACTTTGTCAGTTTTCATGTTGGGAAACCCATACATCATAAGCCCTCCAATCCTATCATCTCTTTCGTACACTGTAACTATATGACCGATTTTATTTAGTTGATCAGCAGCAGCCAAGCCAGATGGTCCACTTCCAACTATGGCTACTCTTTTCCTGTATCAGTAAACATATTAATTAAGCACACCGTTTATCTAATTCAGGTTTGGTCCAGTTTAGATATTACTAATCATTGTAAGAAAGTTGAACAATACACAAAAATTACTGCACAGACAACTTGTGGGTTTATACAAATTTGGTAGAAAAGGGACACCAAAAATAACGAAAATGAAACTGAAGAGATGTTAAAAAGAAAAAAATTAGCATACCCAGTTCTCTTGACTGGAGGTCGTGGCCGCATCCAACCCTCCTTTGGACATTTTGAATATATTTGAAGAGTTTAGTTCTAAATGTATTAGATGTCCTTGGGACATGGTAGATCTGAACTTTTTAGCTTTTATTTTTCGTATAGTTCCAATATTTTAGCTTTACACATCAGCAAGACTTTTAGAACTTCTAAAATAAGATATGTGATGCCTTCTATATACAACAACATTTTATACGTTGGACTTCAAAGTGAAAGAATACTTTGATCACGAGCAAAGCTACATAGGCTAGTCTTGATTTAGGTTTATATCTGTTTTCTTCTCTTTATATCTATTTTTTTTTATTAGAATTGTAAGTGTTTATAAATTATTGTTTGAATGAAATTGTGCTCATGTTACGTTCTGTAAACTGTGCATGCAATTTTACAGATGATGCATGCTCAGCTTGAGAGGACTTTGAAGAAAACCCACAAAACAGTAGCCTGGGTTCGATGTTGCCGTGCATGAACGAATCATTCTCAGGAAACTTGATAGCTCAAATTGGTAACACCATCCACAATCTCATAGTTACTTTCCGATTTTGACTCTTACCAAGCAAAGTTAGCTAGCTAGAGTGTTAAGTAAGCGTTAAATGTTACTTTAATGTGTTTAAAGTTGTCAGTTATGGATAGTTTATGAGTCATAAGGTTAACATTTATCTTAGGAGTTTTGGTTTGAATTTGTCATTTATGGAGTTTATGAGTCATGAGGGTTAGCATTAAGTTTAGGAGTTTTGAAAGGTTAAAAGTCAGTCGTTATCTTTTGTTATTAAGTTTAGTTTTAATTGTGGTTTATGGCTATTTAGTGTTGCAGTTTTAGAAAGGCAAACTATAGCCTATAAATAGTCTAGTATATTGTTTGAGAAACATAGAATTGAGAAGCAACGAAGTTTAGTAAAATATTTCACAGAAGTTTGTTCTCTTTCTCCACGAGTCCTCACGACATTCTTGAATAGTTGTTTTATTTGTTGATTTTGTATTTGAGCGATCCTACAAATTGGTATCAAATCTTGGGCACGAGATGGAAGTGCCACTCTTCCATGGAGATAAGGATGAAGCATTAGATTGGCTTCTTTGTTTGAAGGAACATTTTCGGAAAGAAAAAACCTGGACGGAGGACAAATGGCATGTGGCCATGAGAAGACTCAGAGGAAGCGCAATCAAATGGTTCCGTACATGGAACTGCCGCGACTTTAATAATATGTGGAAGGATTTTCTAATGGCCTTCGTAACAAAATACTTGCCTGGACGTTTTGATCTGATTAATGAAGAAGATGAAATCTTCAATGATGATGATGAAGATGAGGAAAATGATGCGGATGAAGAAGAGACCGAGATGGCGGAATCCGAGGTTGCCAACGGCAACGCATCCACGGAGGAGATTGACGTGTCGGAGCGCGTAAGAGACGACTCGGAGAAGAAGACGATAGAGATGGTTGCGGACAAGGGAGCCGAGATAGAAGAGGAAGAGAACAAGGGAGCCGAGATAGAAGACGAGGAGAACAAAGGAGCCGAGATAGAAGATGAGGAGAACGAAGGAGCCGAGATCGAAGCGGAGAAGGACGAGAACGACGAGTCCATTGTCGAGGTAGAAGACTTCGTGGAACTTGAGTGTCTGGAGACAGAGTCGAAAATCGGAAAGGAGATTGAGAAGCCGAGGTGCTTGATGGAGACCGACATGGAGGAGACCGCGAATCCGAGTTTTGTGTTGATAACCGTGATGGGGGAGATCCCGGCAAAATCACCGAGTTCATGTTTTGGAAGAGACTTCGACCCCGGCGTGACGAGGTCGACGTCGGCGACCGGCATAGGTCGCTGGTCCGAGATGCCATTGAGGAGGTGCGAGGAAGACGGCAATGAAGGAGCCGAGAACGGCGAAAAAATGGAAGGTGCATTTGAAGAAAATGATGTAGTCTTGAAGAGAAAATGAGGTTTTGTTGACAATACCAATGATGCAGAAATTGGGATTGGACGAGGAAATAAAATTGTGAAAGCAACTGATGAAGTGGCGAATGAAACTGAGAAGAATTTGGGTGACGAGAAACTTGCAGGTGAAGAAGATACAGCGAATGGAAACAAGGAAAGTCCTGCTAATGAAACTGAAAATATCAAATTGAAGAAGCCACCGGATAAAATAAAATATTTCAGAAAAATAATTGCAGGGGAGATATTTTTTTTTGAGTTAATTAAGTTGGAAGGTGTTAGATGTTTTTTGTTAGTGATCAAGATTGAAGAAAACAAGCGCGATCAGAAAGTTGAAGAAAAACAGAAGCAACACGAAGAAAGAAAGAAAGAAGCATTTAAGTTTACGGGGGAGTTTTGTTAAGTAAACGTTAAATGTTACTTTAATGTGTTTAAAGTTGTCAGTTATGGATAGTTTATGAGTCATAAGGTTAACATTTATCTTAGGAGTTTTGGTTTGAATTTGTCATTTATGGAGTTTACGAGTCATGAGGGTTAGCATTAAGTTTAGGAGTTTTGAAAGGTTAAAAGTCAGTCGTTATGTTTTGTTATTAAGTTTAGTTTTAATTGTAGTTTATGGCTATTTAGTGTTGCAGTTTTAGAAAGGCAAACTATAGCCTATAAATAGTCTAGTATATTGTTTGAGAAACATAGAATTGAGAAGCAACGAAGTTTAGTAAAATATTTCACAGAAGTTTGTTCTCTTTCTCCACAAGTCCTCACGACATTCTTGAATAGTTGTTTTATTTGTTGATTTTGTATTTGAGCGATCCTACAAGTTGGTATCAGAGCTTGGGCTATGGAGGAAAAGAACGAGATGGAAGTGCCACTCTTCCATGGAGATAAGGATGAAGCATTAGATTGGCTTCTCTGTTTGAAGGAACATTTTCGGAAAGAAAAAAACCTGGACGGAGGACAAATGGCATGTGGCCATGAGAAGACTCAGAGGAAGCGCAATCAAATGGTTCCGTACATTGAACTGCCGCGACTTTAATAATATGTGGAAGGATTTTCTAATGGCCTTCGTAACAAAATACTTGCCTGGACGTTTTGATCTGATTAATGAAGAAGATGAAATCTTCAATGATGATGATGAAGATGAGGAGAATGATGCGGATGAAGAAGAGACCGAGATGGTGGAATCCGAGGTTGCCAACGGCAACGCATCCGCGGAGGAGATTGACGTGTCGGAGCGCGTAAGAGATGACTCGGAGAAGAAGACGATGGAGATGACTGAGAACGAAGGAGCCGAGATAGAAGATGAGGAGAACGAAGGAGCCGAGATCGAAGCAGAGAAGGACGGGAACGACGAGTCCATTGTCGAGGTAGAAGACTTCGTGGAACCTGAGTGTCTGGAGACAGAGTCGAAAATCGGAAAGGAGATTGAGAAGCCGAGGTGCTTGATGGAGACCGACATGGAGGAGACCGCGAATCCGAGTTTTGTGTTGATAACCGTGATGGGGGAGATCCCGGCAAAATCACCGAGTTCATGTTTTGGAAGAGACTTCGACCCCGGCGTGACGAGGTCGACGTCGGCGACCGGCATAGGTCGCTGGTCCGAGATGCCATTGAGGAGGTGCGAGGAAGACGGCAATGAAGGAGCCGAGAACGGCGAAAAAATGGAAGGTGCATTTGAAGAAAAGGATGTGGTCTTGAAGAGAAAAAGAGGTTTTGTTGACAATACCAATGATGCAGAAATTGGGATTGGACGAGGAAATAAAATTGTGAAAGCAACTGATACTGGGAAGAATTTGGGTGACGAGAAACTTGCAGATGAAGAAGTTACAGCGAATGGAAACAAGGAAAGTCCTGCTAATGAAACTGAAAATATCAGATTGAAGAAGCCACCGGATAAAATAAAATATGTTCAGAAAAATAATTGCAGGGAAGATATTTTTTTGGTGCTAGATGTTTTTTGTTAGTGATCAAGATTGAAGAAAACAAGCGCGATCTGAAAGTTGAAGAAAAGCAGAAGCAACACGTAGAAAGAAAGAAGCATTTAAGTTTACGGGGGAGTTTTGTTAAGTAAACGTTAAATGTTACTTTATTGTGTTTAAAGTTGTCAGTTATGGATAGTTTATGAGTCATAAGGTTAACATTTATCTTAGGAGTTTTGGTTTGAATTTGTCGGTTATGGAGTTTATGAGTCATGAGGGTTAGCATTAAGTTTAGGAGTTTTGAAAGGTTAAGAGTCAGTCGTTATGTTTTGTTATTAAGTTTGGTTTTAATTGTGGTTAATGGCTATTTAGTGTTGCAGTGTTATAAAGGAAAACTATAGCCTATAAATAGTCTAGTATATTGTTTGAGAAACATAGAATTGAGAAGCAACGAAGTTTAGTAAAATATTTCACAGAAAAAAAAAAAAAAACTTTTCTTTTCTATTCTTGCTCTTTCTTTTTTCTCATGGCTACCTTCAATTTGATTTTTTCAGTTTCATTAGCAGGACTTTCCTTGTTTCCATTCGCTGTAACTTCTTCATCTGCAAGTTTCTCGTCACCCAAATTCTTCCCAGTATCAGTTGCTTTCACAATTTTATTTCCTCGTCCAATCCCAATTTCTGCATCATTGGTATTGTCAACAAAACCTCTTTTTCTCTTCAAGACCACATCCTTTTCTTCAAATGCACCTTCCATTTTTTCGCCGTTCTCGGCTCCTTCATTGCCGTCTTCCTCGCACCTCCTCAATGGCATCTCGGACCAGCGACCTATGCCGGTCGCCGAAGTCAACCTCATCACGCCGGGGTCGAGCTCTTCTCCAAAAGATGAACTCGGTGATTTAGCCAGGATCTCCCCCATCCCGGTTATCAACACGGAACTCGGATTCACAGTCTCCTCCATGTCGGTCTCCATCAAGCACCTCGGCTTCTCAATCTCCTTTCCGATTTTCGACTCTGTCTCCAGACACTCAGGTTCCACGAAGTCTTCTACCTCGACAATGGACTCTTCTACCTCGACAATGGACTCGTCGTTCCCGTCCTTCTCTGCTTCGATCTCGGCTCCTTCGTTCTCCTCATCTTTTTATTTTATCCGGTGGCTTTTTGAATTTGATATTTTACTAAACTTCGTTGCTTCTCAATTCTATGTTTCTCAAACAATATACTAGACTATTTATAGGCTATAGTTTTCCTTTATAACACTGCAACACTAAATAGCCATTAACCACAATTAAAACCAAACTTAATAACAAAACATAACGACTGACTCTTAACCTTTCAAAACTCCTAAACTTAATGCTAACCCTCATGACTCATAAACTCCATAACCGACAAATTCAAACCAAAACTCCTAAGATAAATGTTAACCTTATGACTCATAAACTATCCATAACTGACAACTTTAAACACATTAAAGTAACATTTAACGTTTACTTAACAAAACTCCCCCGTAAACTTAAATGCTTCTTTCTTTCTTCGTGTTGCTTCTGCTTTTCTTCAACTTTCTGATCGCGCTTGTTTTCTTCAATCTTGATCACTAACAAAAAACATCTAGCACCAAAAAAATATCTTCCCTGCAATTATTTTTCTGAACATATTTTATTTTATCCGGTGGCTTCTTCAATCTGATATTTTCAGTTTCATTAGCAGGACTTTCCTTGTTTCCATTCGCTGTAACTTCTTCATCTGCAAGTTTCTCGTCACCCAAATTCTTCCCAGTATCAGAAGGGAATCTCCTTGAAGAGCTTGGGCTATGGAGGAAAAGAACGAGATGGAAGTGCCACTCTTCCATGGAGATAAGGATGAAGCATTAGATTGGCTTCTCTGTTTGAAGGAACATTTTCGAAAAGAAAAAATCTGGACGGAGGACAAATGGCAGGTAGCCATGAGAAGACTCAGAGGAAGCGCAATCAAATGGTTCCGTACATGGAACTGCCGCGACTTTAATAATATGTGGAAGGATTTTCTAATGGCTTTCGTAACAAAATACTTGACTGGACGTTTTGATCTGATTAATGAAGAAGATGAAATCTTCAATGATGGTGATGAAGACGAGGAAAATGATGCGGATGAAGAAGAGACCGAGATGGCGGAATCCGAGGTTGCCAACGGCAACGCATCCGCGGAGGAGATTGACATGTCAGAACGCGTAAGAGACGACTCGGAGAAGAAGACGATGGAGATGACTGCGGTCGAAGGAGCCGAGATAGAAGAGGAGAACGAAGGAGCTGAGATAGAAGATGAGGAGAACGAAGGAGCCGAGATCGAAGCGGAGAAGGACGGGAACGACGAGTCAATTGTCGAGGTAGAAGACTTCGCGGAACCTGAGTGTCTGGAGACAGAGTCGAAAATCGGAAAGGAGATTGAGAAGCCGAGGTGCTTGATGGAGACCGGCATGGAGGAGACCGCGAATCCGAGTCTCATGTTGATAACCGGGATGGGGGAGCTCCCGGCTAAATCACCGAGTTTATGTTTTGGAGAAGAGCTCGACCTGGGCGTGATGAGGTTGATGTCAGAGACCGACATAGGCGCGGTTCGGGTTGGAAGTCAGAAGTCGGAGACTGCATTGAATTTATGGTGGAAGTGGAAGATGTCGACACCACCGAAAAGAGACCATTTACCTGGAGGACGGTGGTCTGAGATTCTATCGATGAGGCGCATGGAAGCTGGACTTGTTGAAGAAGAACCCGGCGATGAAGAAGAACCCGACGATGAAGAAGAACCCGGCGATGAAGAAACTGAGAGCGAAAAAATGGAAGGTGCATTTGAAGAAAATGATGTGGTCTTGAAGAGAAAAAGAGGTTTTGTTGACAATACCAATGATGCAGAAATTGGGATTGGACGAGGAAATAAAATTGTGAAAGCAACTGATGAAGTGGTGAATGAAACTGAGAAGAATTTGGGTGACGAGAAACTTGCAGATGAAGAAGATACAACGAATGGAACTGAAAATATCAAATTGAAGAAGCCACCGGATAAAATAAAATATGTTCAGAAAAATAATTGCAGGAGAGATATTTTTTTTGACTTAATTAAGTTGGAAGGTGTTAGATGTTTTATGTTAGTGATCAAGATTGAAGAAAACAAGCGCGATCAGAAAGTTGAAGAAAAGCAGAAGCAACACGAAGAAAGAAAGAAGCATTTAAGTTTATGGGGGAGTTTTGTTAAGTAAACGTTAAATGTTACTTTAATGTGTTTAAAGTTGTCAGTTATGGATAGTTTATGAGTCATAAGGTTAACATTTATCTTAGGAGTTTTGGTTTGAATTTGTCAGTTATGGAGTTTATGAGTCATGAGGGTTAGCATTAAGTTTAGGAGTTTTGAAAGGTTAAGAGTCAGTCGTTATGTTTTGTTATTAAGTTTTGTTTTAATTGTGGTTAATGGCTATTTAGTGTTGCAGTGTTATAAAGGAAAACTATAGCCTATAAATAGTCTAGTATATTGTTTGAGAAACATAGAATTGAGAATCAACGAAGTTTAGTAAAATATTTCACAGAAGTTTGTTCTCTTTCTCCACAAGTCCTCACGACATTCTTGAATAGTTGTTTTATTTGTTGATTTTGTTTTTGAGCGATCCTACATAGAGTACTAAAATATTCTACTTCTACTAGTAGTGACTAATTATATTCCTTTAGTTCTCGAAACATTTATCAACTGTCCAGATAAAAAAGTCTTAGGCACATTATTCTTGTCAATACCCTGATTATGTATTAATGTGCATTTTGCATTTATACAACTCGACATATATTGTAAAAGTGATTGGAACCTGGACTGGGCTTCCTGTATCATACTAGCTTTTGAACTCGTTCTGTTTCGTGTTTTTTTGACCCAAAAGAAAAACCTCAAACTCTCTCTCTCTCTCTTTCTTCATATTCGTGTTTCGTGTCTCTCTTCCTCCGAAGCCAGGAGTTTTCAAACCATCCAACAAAGATGGAGTACCACAACAAACTGGTTCTTGCTCCAATGGTTCGCGTTGTGAGTTTATCTTCCTTATGTCTTGTCTCTTCGTTCAACAACCGTTTTTCTCTTCTCATAAATTATTTAGTGACAAACCATAACAG